AATAGATTATATATATCAATATACACTTTTATTTAAAAAGTATGAGTTAAATCATAAAAATATATAATTTATAATATATTTAAGTTACATATACAAACTTTTTATATAAAGTATATAATTTGTAATATATACATTTTCTAAAATATTAATATAATTTTTAATAACATATTACGTACATAATATTTGTAGAAACATATAATTCTATAATTTGTAAGTTAAAATGTTATAAAACATGTAAATTCGTAGAAACATAATATGGTATATATTAGGTAGGTAAAGTCATAAGTTTGTAGGTAGATCAATTCCCCTTTTCTTAAATATAAATTTAAACATGAACAACCTTATACATGTGCAGTATGGAATATTACCAGTTCTATCGTAGTTGGATGTATGATAGAACGTATCCAGGAAGACGTGGGCTTAAACCACATTTTAAAGAAGGAGTTGTTGCGTTTCTTACTTATGTCTATGAAAAGAACGATGGCAGTGATGTCTATGAAATTGTCCACATTTGGAAAGAGGACAATCCCATAAATCATTAGAGCAACGCTTATTCCGAACTTTTCCCAATCTTCATCCACCTTGTATTGAGCAGCCTTTTCTAGCAGAAATTTCAATGGAAAACCCTGAACACCCCCTTTACTGGTTAAACCCTCTTTGACTTCCTCTTTGGTCATACGTAGAGTAAGAGCAATGGCAGGAGGTTTTGGTTCTTCTTCCAAGCCTGTGTATATAGGTTGATCCTTAATCTTGATGTTCAAAATGTGAGAATATTCCTCAAGAGTAGGGGCCAACTGATAGTTTTGAAAAGTGAAACATCTGAGAGGTGCATCATAGAACTGAGCCATAGCGAACAAAGCCCAAGTATCGACCCTAGAATGGAGGAGATCAAGCAATTTCCCATACTTCCCCTGAAAGTTGATCTTGATAGCCTTTGGTACGTCAATCAGAATGTCTTGAATTAGTTCCAGCTTTGGTTCTCTAAACTTGATGGAATTTGTGCTTCGCTTTCTTTGGTCAGTCATTGTATTCACCAATACCTGAGATAATCACAGTCTCTTAAGTCCCCTGATATGCGAGAAATGATATGCAATGCAATGTTTTATGAATGCACATGATAAAGAACACAAAACGAGATCAAGATCACTGGTCCTGCAAAACAACACAAAATATTTCTCCCATCGGGTGGGTTATCTATTGGTTTGTAAGAGGGCATCCCAAAGGCTTTTAAACAAAGTCCCATGCACTAGCCCTCGAAAGTTTTCCATCATAACGACTACTCGTAAGACGGTAATCCCTTCAAAGGATGAACACAGAGTCATGTCTCAGCAACCTTTGGAATAAGGTTCTACAAAGGTCCTCAGAGTCGCGGACTCCCACGTCGGAAATAAAGACGTCATTACGACTACACGTAAGACATAATCATTCCAACGGGGTCTCATCTGAGCGGTGGAATTCGATCCAACTCAACGAGTCCTAAGTCTCGCAAATCAGAAAGAACCCACCTCCTATCTTAGTGTGTACTTGAAAGCTCGGGTAGAAAGCCTTATCTCACAAACCATCCAAATAAACCCAACAGTTAGTGAACATAACATAATAAAAAATAAAAGCAAATAAAACACAAACACGACAAACAAAATAGGTCTGGCTCGCTAGGAGGGTCCCCAGCAGAGTCGCCATCTGTCGCTACTCGAAAACTGCATCGTGCAACGACGGGGAGGCGAAAAAGATAGACAGAAGAGTCGCCACCGAACTTTATTTATCCCATGAGGGGAAAGGAAAATATCGAGAAAACCTTAAGAAAAGAATGGATAAGATGGTCTCGCAACCAAGAACGGGTTCGGAAGCCGGTTATGCGAAGGGAAGGTATTAGCACCCCTCGCATCCATCGTACTCGATGGGAACCTTTTGCTCGTCGATGTGTGATTTTATTTGCTTAAATATTATGCTATAAAGAGCGTTCTAAAAGATAGAGAGAAGGGTTTAGAAACGGGGAAAGAGAGGTAACGGGGGAAGAAGAGAGAGAACGGACTCGGTAGGACTTCGCGGTCCTAGGCCTACGTATTCTCAATAGATGTGAGAAAGTCAGAGTCGACGTAGTTCGGGGAACTACAGATATGAGGGGAATATGCTCGGCAAGGATTGTGGCCCTTGTGCCTACGTATCTTTACTTGAGAAAGTAAAGAATCAGAGCAGCCGTAGTTCGGCCTACGGTGTGTTGATGTTTTTTATGGATGACGTTATTGTACGCATTCTAGCAGTTAGGCGTTTTGCTGCTCATTCGTTGGAGACTTAGGCATTACCTGTTTGCGGTAGAACAGACGTAACATATCCTTTTGAAAGATTGATTAGTTTTCGCCACGCGGGGCTAGAAGTCACATTTGATTGATTGGAATGTTTTTTTTTAGGGGGCGAGACAGGTCCTCGGATAGTAACCCCTACGGGTAGTACCCAATTCGTTATCTCAAAGTTTTTGTTATAAAAAGGTGTGGCGAACGAGGCGTCTTTGTATTGAAAGACGAGCGTCAAAGCCACCCTTACTACAGTGGGCATCCCAACGCTCGGAGAAGAAGAGGTCTACACCCAATCCTCTCTCTTTAATTCAATGCAAAGAGAACTTCATTCTCTTATTTAATTGTTTTTGGTTTTGAATGGTAAGTGCCTTGTGACAGAGAACCCTACGGTAAACGTCAGCACTCGGGATAGGAGAAGGCCTACGCCTAACCACTCCACGACCATTCAAGTTTTCAACGTAAAAATGATTTGAAAATGCACTCGGTATGGGTCCGAGGTTTTAGGTGACGGAAAGAAGTTGTGACAGGAGGGGTGGTGGAAGAAGTCGCGTCTTCGTATTGAAAGACGAATATCGAAACCACCCTCACTACAGTGGGCATCCCAACATTCGGAGAAGAAGAGGTCTACACCCAATCCTCTCTTTTTAATTCAATACAAAGATAAATTAATTTGGAAGATTTTCTGAAAAAAGGACTCGGTACGGGACCGAGGTTTTGAAAATGCACTCGGCACGGAGCCGAGGCTCTTTAGGAGAAAAAAGTTTAGAAGCGTCTTCGTATGGAAAGACGAGTGTCGAGATCACCCTCACTACAGTGGGCATCCCAACGCTCGAAGAAGAAGGGGTCTACACCCAATCCTCTATTTTTAATCCAATACAAAGAGAAAAAAAAAGCTTTAAAGATGATTTAAAAGGGACTTGATACAAAACCGAGGTTTTTTAGGATAGGAGGGACTGAAAACGTCTTCGTATTGAAAGACGAGTGTCGAAACCACCCTCACTACAGTGGGCATCCCAACACTCGAAGAAGAAGGGGTCTACACCCAATCTTCTCTCTTTAATCCAATACCAAGAATTTGTTTGAAAATGTTTTCGGAGATACACTCGATACGGGACCGAAGTTTTAGGAGGAAAAAGCGTTGAAAGAGAAGTGGTCTCAGATCCAACGTTTACAAGGAAATAAAATTTTTTTAAAACCACAATATACTTTACAAAGTTCTAACAAAACAAAAAGAGAAATGACATTCTAAATATATATAAGAAAACTCTTAAAATAAATAAGATAAGGTTCTTAAAACTTTAAAGAAAAAAATAAATAGAAAATTAGATATGTAAAGTAATCTAAAAATTATATAAGAAAACCTAAAGTAATATGTATATAGTATTTACAAAATGAATATTAAAATATTTACAAATAGATATTAGAATATTTACAATATATTAGAAAAAGAAATTTATATATCTATAACTTAAATTTACCAAAATAAAATTATAAAACTCTAAACATTTCATTTGAGATTCAATAAAATAATAGAAACAGAAAACAAAAGACATTAGATTGTGATGACCAAACAGAAAGATACAAACACGTATGCATTGGGGATATACGAGCATAACCGTGGCACTTGCAAGCAACACACTCAGATTCCAAAACCACAAAATCAAAACGAAAATGGCGAGCAAGAAAACGTAATGAACAAAGGTCGAACTACCTCAAATTCGAAACTCCTTCTGCTTGGTTTCGACTTCTCACTCTTCTCCTTCACTTCCGTTTCTGTTCTTCTTTTGGCGGTGCGACGGTGGATGGTTGGTTATCGGAACGATAGCAGCTTGATTTCTGATGGTCTACAATCTCGCTCACCACGTGTTCGATGAAAGTACTGCTGTGGTTTGGATGCTTGTTGCCAAGTTTACAGTGAGTTTATGAGGAAGATGGATGTTGAGTTGGGTTTGAAGTTGAGGTGGTAGTATGAGCTGCTCGAAAACGGTGTTCAAAGGTGAGGGAAATGAAACGAAGGTTAAGGTTGCTGCAAGAATGGGTGGATGATGAGGATGAAATTGGTGAAGAGTTTGGGGTGGCTGCTGCAATGGTAGGGGTTTCTCTCCTTTTTTCTCTACCAGCCTCCTCTCTGAATGAATGGTAACAAAATATATATGATGGGAGATTAGGGTTTTTTTATGTTTGAATCAAGATAGTGTATCATTTCTGCTAGCACTTTTTGATGCCCAGACCATGTCTTTCCATTTTAGTGAATCTGGCTCTGCTGTCCTATTTTCTTGTCTCTGAATTTCGTCTGTTTGTGCTGACTGTATCTTCTGTTATTTACTCATGATTTTCACTGTGGTAACACAACAATTTTACTGATACAAACTTGCTGATGTGGTATTTCTTCATTCTTAACTGAAAACAAACTCTTGGTCTGCTGAGAATGCTCTTCCTCTTTGTTATTATGGCTAGGGGCTGATTGGAGACGAAGTTGTTGTTGCAGAAGGTACACAATCTCCTGAGCCTCATCATCTTCCTCCCTGTATGCCTTTTTTGGTTCTTGGGATTGATGCGAAGAACGCCAGAAAGTTATATATCTAAAAAAACATCATATTCTCCATTTCTAGGATACAGTTTCGTCACCATCTGGTGTCAATACCATTGATGCATGACAGAAATTACCGAGGACAACAAAACTGCTGTGTTCGAAATTGGATACTATCATTTGACGGAAAATAATTTGCAGAACCACTGTGTTCTGCTTGAACAAATGTTTGAAGACGACGTTGTCTGTTCACGATAAGAATTGTTCGGATACAAAATTCTCCTTTTCCGTTTTGTTCGAAATAGAGAGTCTTCTGTATCTAAAACGTATGAAACCTTGGATGAATTGCAAGCAATCTTACATTCCAGACCATTGGTAACTTGTACTCCATCCATAATCTGGTTTGGAAATTCATCACTCCAAGCACATTTTAGCTTATTCCTTTTTAAGAAAATTCCGGATTTCTCCTTGCTGTCGGGGACAACAGATAAGAAGTCGTTGTGCAGATAGGCTGAAAAATTAGGATCTATTGACACAGCAGTCACTTCAGGCTTATCGTGTCCGTAATCCATCAACTGAATAGACAATCGGGGCGGTGTAGACGAACACTCAATACGATATATGTTCTCATCATGAAGAAGAACACGTGCATTTTCATGATAAACTATATCCACAAAGCTTCCAGGTTTTCTTGATTGCTCATATGCATATAGTTGAAGAAGTTTGCTATCCATCTCATCAGTAGCAATGGCAACAGCTTGAAGCTATTTAACAAGTTTATATATCAGCTTGTCTATCGTGAACAAAACATATGACTGAGTTCCAATAATAGCACGACAGTCATATTCAAATTTTGAATTATCAGAAGAGCCATCCAGCAAACTGTAAAGAGAACTCATGAACCTGCCATATTGATCAGTAGAAACTGTATCATTTGAAGCTCTCCATTTTCTTTCAGCAGAGGATGAGTTTATCTTGGCTGATTGTATCCTCTCATACAATGTCTGATGAAGTCTAAACAGCACATAAAAGGAATCATTTCCATAAAAAATTTGAACATTCTTTTCTTTCCCGTGCACCACCGGGCAAACATGTTTTACCAGAGGCTTTACCGTGAGAAGAAAGCGTTCAGAGTATGACCCTTTGATGGGAAAAAACTTGAGAATCAGTGCTCAACAGAGTGCTAAATATATAAATAAGTGCAACATGATATCTATGGTGATCCTCTTCTTAAAGTTGACACCATTGTTCACCGAGAACTGCTTGTTTTCTGCTTGGCCTTCTCAATGAGGGGCTTCAACTGCTTCTGCTTTGATATCTGGGTTAGGCAAGATTATCTCTGCCTCGTCCCTTGTCTCAGTAGGAATCATCTCCCCCGATACTGCCTCTACAGTTTTCGCTATTTTCTTTGCAGTTGTGGGCTTCTTGGTTTTACTAGCAGGACGCTTTATCGCTTGATGCTTTACTTTCAACTTTGAGGTTGGGTCTAACAGTGAAGGTGATTTCTGTTTTTCAGTTTCATTTGTGAATTTTTTAGGAGGCATTACTTCACATTTTTCATCAGGTTCAACTGTTTCTAACTTGTCTTCTGTTGAGGTGTCAAGTTTTTTTTTGAAAGATGAACCAATTCCTCAGGAGCCATACCCAACTCAGATTCACATTTGTCATCTGGAGCCTCTGTTTCATCATCCAAAATATCAGTTCTGCCACCAGCATCTTCTGCATATTCACTAACCGCTTTTTGCTCCATCAATTTGTTAACATCAAGGACTGGGGGTGATGCCTGACGCTTCTTAGCACCAGAAGTTGCTATTTCTTTGCTTCCACTGGAAGAACTTAAGCCTTCATCTTGCTGCATAGTTTTATTCAAGCAAACTGAACTCTTCAGTTTAGCAGTAGCACCTTTTCTGGGTCTAGAACCCAAAGTTCTCTTGACAGTTGATTTCTTGCAGGGTGACCTTCTAACCAGCTTATCGTTTTCTTCATTGCTTAAATCCCAATCATCAAGACCAGCAAACCCTTCACTCTTTGACTTCTTTCCTGGTGATGAAAAATCAAGATTTGTAGTGATATTATGCTCCTCTTTCTCTTCCTCCTGTCTTTGGAAGATATTTTTCCTTTTTTCTACTTATATTTTTTTAGCATCAGAGCTATCATCAGATGATAAGGATTTCACTGACTTTTTTTTCTTTTTGCCTATTGTTTTGAGTTGGTCCTACATTGAAATCAGTCTTCTGCAGGTTTGTAGTTTGAGCTTTGTTTACGAGTTTGTTCCGCAGGGTGACGCTCAACCTTAACCTGCTTTGAACTCATGTCTTAGACTACATAGTGGCCTGAGGTAATATACTTGACCCTTAATCTTCAGGCTATTAGTTCTGATGTGATAACCTTGCCCCGACAGAAATGTCTCAGCATATGTACTCAAACATTTCTTTCGCCATTCATTCTGACAAACATCTGATTAATATTTTCTCTGCTAACCTCTTTCCATTATTCTTTTTCATGTACGTGATGAGAGTATAAATCAACCTTGAAACTTGCCTTGCAGAAGATTGGACACGGTGGACTTAACACGGCGAAGAGGACTGGGTATGAAGAGAAAATCCACAGTTGCTCTTTAAGTCAAGGGCTTTATTCGAAGATGGAATTCAGTTTTTTATGGACTTCATAGACTCTGCAGAAGTTGGAATTCTGATCAAACAATTAAGTTATAATGAGCAGCAAATAGCTGTGATTATTCGCGGTTACACAGCTGTGTGTACGCGACTCGAAGACTGATATGGTAGAGTCACATGTTGCTGCAGGCGTTTTTTTTTTTTCACGGTGAGCTGGTTGGTGATATTTGTTGCGTTTCCACAATGTTGTACAGAACGGCTTGCTTTGATGTTGCGACTGGCCTTTGACTTCGCCGGTAAAAACAACACCCCAATTCCTTGTACAAAATTTTGTTAAAGTTTTATGAATCCCTTGATTTGTTTGTTCTTCTTCTAAATCACAATTGTTGCTGTCTTAATTTTGTGATTGTGCAGGTTCTGCTGATGATCAAGTGGAGAAGTACGAGCTGTGTTTCGGTCAGAAGTGAAGCGCCAATTAAACCTGAACTTCGCAGATGAGCACTCGATTGAGCAGACGAGTTAGCAACACAGACCTGGATTTTCAAGTTCAGATCCAAACTTTCCAGCTCAATTTCACAACATAAAGCAACTTTTGCTTTTGTGATGGCTATCAACTCACAAGATGAGAAGGTGAGATATTAATAACGGGTCCTCTCGTCATTTTCTAATTGCAAACCGTCCATGCCTCTAAAGATACTTTCATAATTATTGACATGAGAAGCATCTCTTCCAGCCCGTGTTATTCTCTGAGGATCAGAAAACCCGATCGGTGAACTTCTTTGCTCACCCAAAATTCGGCGTGCTGGTCCAGGGCTAGCCTCAGCAGTGCGTGTACGGACATCTGATTCAGCACCAACAAATGCACTACGGCTACTAGAAACAACAACTCACCTGGATGATCCATTTGACTGACCCAAGACATTGGCACTTGAAAGAGTATTCAAAACGGGTCCTGTCATTCTGCGCCTCAAGGAATCCACTGATACCAAACCAGGGGGTTGCCCTCCTTCTGCTCCTGTATGTCTGTCACTATACACAATTCAACAATGGAGCCAAGTCCTTCCATTAAGAGAGTCTGACAGATTCAGCACATCAAATATCTAGTCACAAATGCAGCCTGCCATTTCAAAACAATCGACTTAATCAAAATAAGAGCTCATGTAAAGCCTCACTCCAAAATTAAGAGGCCCAGCATCACCACCAACAGCATGAAGTGCAACTGGAATTGTTGAAAGAGGATGCACGGTGAGTGGAAAAAATGCAGGATTAATTTCAGTGTTCATGTCAGATGCAACAGAATCCACTCCCATCCCTTCATTTTGATTACAACAATTCATTTTAACCTTCAGGTCATACGGACAAGCAATCAATACAGCTTCTGACAATGCCCTCCATTTGTTAGTGGTGCCTCTCCTAAACACACGCTTATTAGGAGATATGCTAAGCACCAGTGTGGATGTTGCCTCGAGCCACTCAGCAGTCAAACCTTCAACTTCATCATAATATATGCGCCTCTCAACCGCAAGCTTTTGAATATAAATTGACATGAACTTTGGGCCTAGTCCCAATATTCTTGCTTCTGATAGTAAGACCTTTCGCTGCTTCAGGATAAACCATATGTAAAGTCTATCACAGGCATCCTTAACATTTCTACTAGCTTTCTTCCTCTCGTTGCAATGATCAGCAATATCTGCAAGTATTCTAGCACTCAGAACGCTATGCTTCAAGGCTGCAGCTGATAAAGCTTCCCTACATTCAACAGATTCTGCAGCATTTTTATCAAAGTTGATGCCTGTGAAACATCTTTTCTTCCCTCCAACTTCCTTTCCCATCTGCTTCAAATAAATGTTTTCGGCCTCTATCGTAGCAAGTAGTGTCCGATGGACAACAATATCTGAATATCGACGTAAAGGTGATGTAAAATGAGTGTATAAAGGGACAGCAAGTGCATAATGACCCCACTCATGCTCATTATCCTTTAAATAACCACTACAGAAGTAAGAAGCCAACTGCATTGGCTTTGTAGCATAGGAAATAAGTATATCATTAAGCACAGGGTCATCCTTGAGCTTTTCCTTTATTTGCTCTAAGGACCGATGGATATGACCAGATGAAGAAGTCTCCAAATTTAAACCATGCTTCTGACAAAATGCAGTCAACTCTTTGAGCTTCCGCATATTAGGTTCAGGATGCCTCCGCAGTAGTGCAACTTCAGGATAAGCTCTACATATTACTTCAGCAGCTGTTGTATTGGCCAAAAGCATAAACTCCTCGATTAGAAAATTTGATTCTCTCTGTTCAGAAAATGTAATATCATAAGGGATGCCATTATCATCAATCAGAATAACAATTTTGGGGTTATCAAGCCGAAGAGCCCCTCTAGTAAATCTCTTGTGTTTCAACACCTTTGAAATTTCATAGAGACTCTTCAAAGAAGTGAGAACATCCGGCCAATCAAAACGGCCATGAACTTTAGGATAGGCATCTTCATGAAAGCTTGAACTCTCAAAATTGAAAGCACTATCAATGATGTCCTGCGCATGTTCATATGAAAGCTTACAACAAGAATGAATAACAGTGCGACCAATCCAACGGTCTACAACATCCCCATCAACATTTAGATCCAGGAGCATGGAAAATGCTAGTCGATCCACTCCAGGATTAAGAGATCCAATATTTTCTGTGATTAATGTAGGTAACATTGGTATCTTCTTTTGCAACATGTAAACACTAGTTGACCTAAACCGAGCCTGATCATCTAAAAAAAGTGTCTGGTACTACAAAGTATGATGCATCAGCAATATGGATGCCTACTCTATAATTTCCATTACACAACTTCTCAATTGACAGTGCATCATCCAGATCAGTTGCAGATTCGGCTAATTTGGGTCACAAGTCCTCATGGAAGGAAAACTGGATTTGGGCACTTGTAATAGGTTCGCCGTTGGTTTGACAAAAAGAACTTGTGTTTCTATGGCTTGTGAAATTCTCGTGTGGGCCTTGTAAATAAAATATCAACAACTTTGATAACCTCTTGTAATAACCATCAAATGGTATATTTTGCTAGAAAATGTGTAACAAGCCTTTTCCCTCATTGGATGATTTTATTTATGAAACAG